GGCCTCCAGGCAGTCAGGAGTAGGGAGCTGTGTGGACATGACCCATGTATTGGGACCCAGGGGTCTCCCCATGGACACCAATCACAGATCCCTGGTGGTCAACAGAATATCCAATATCATGCAACTGGAGCACTGCCCTCTGGGTCCTAAGGTTCCCTCGCCCAATGCCTTTATGTGGACAAAAACTCGGGGCCCTGCTCCAACCTGGTGTATTCTCAGCCCCGCTGGAAGAGGCTCTGAACAGCTAGGGGACTGCAAGAGGTCTCGAGAAAAGCCCTGACCACTGCCCAGGGGGGTCTAGGTGGAACCAACTGAAAAGCAGAAATAACCCTCCACAGTTATCCCACCAGCCAAGGAATGACCCGCCATCCATCAAATCACACAAGCCAGAGACCTAGCACCAGCCTGCGGTCCTGGGCTCCCTGCTTGCTTTTCTCTCCCCATCCGGTTCCACTCCACCCACACACACCTAATGAAATATACCAGCTTCAGTCATTTCCACCATGTAAGCAGCAATCAATGTTGTCATTAGCAGGGACCTCACAGGAATTTGTTTTTCTTAATGTCTTACAGCAGGAGGCTGTGAGTACTAGTGTCTAGAGAAATGGGTCTCAGCATTATGGTTTGAGGTGAGCATCTCCAGACGGGACAGGAGGACACTGACCGATACAGAGCCCAGTCTAGCCCCAGATGAAAGGTAACACCCCACGTGGAAGAGCTGAGAGATACAGCTAAGTGTGGGGAGCTCCTGGTTGAGTTTGGTTCTGGAGAGAAGGAGGTAGCCCCCCTCACAGGGCCACAGGGCTTCAAGCCCCTTCAGAATGAGCAAGAGATGACAGCTGAGTGGACCTGCATTGTCTCACTTTATTGCAGAAAGCAGGCTTTCGATGGTGACATCCTGTGGCAAAAAGAAGCAACTGTCTTTTCATGTGCCTGTTGGTCATCTGTATGCCCTCTTTGGATAAGTATCTATCAGATTTTCTGCTCAATTTTTAATCTTAGTTTGGTTGTTTTCTATTGACTTGTGTGAGCTATTTATATATTCTGTATATTAACCCCTTACTGGTCATATCATTTGTAAACATATTTCCCGTTTGGTAAATGAACATCTTCATTTTGGCAATAGTTCCCTTTGAGAAATGCAAATCGTAACTGCAGTGAGGCTTCCCTTCAGAGCTGTTAGAATGGTCATCATCAAAAGGGCTATAAGTAACAAACGTTGGAGAAGATGTGGAGAAAAGGGAACCCTTGTACACTGTTTGGAGGAATGTAAACATGGTTTACATAGTTCTATGGAGAACCATGTGGAGGCTGCTCAAAAAACTAAAAAACAGAATTATTGTATGATCCAGCAGTTCCACTCCTGGTTATTCGTTGTTGTTGTTGTTGTTGTTTAGTTGATAAGTCAGGTCAAACTCTTATGACCCCATGGATTGTAGCTCGCCAGGCTCCTCTGTCCAAGGGATTTTCCAGGCGAGAATACTGCAGTGAGTTGCTGTTTTCTTCTCCAGGAGATCTTTTCAACCCAGGGATTAAACCCACATCTCCTGCTTTTCAGGTGAATTCTTCACCATTGAGTCACCTGAGAAGCCCAGGAATAGAACTACCATATGATCCAACAGTTCCATCCCTGGGTATATAGCCAAGAAAAAACAAAAACATGAATCTGAAAAGCCACGTGGATCCCAGTGTTCATAGCAGCAGTGTTTACAATAGTCAAGACATGGAAACAACCTGTGTCCATCAACAGATGGATAGATGGGCATACTAGGCACCAGACACTATTCTAAACTCACTTCTTCTTCACAACAGCCCCTATATAACCCTCTTAGGAGGAAACAGAGGCAAAATTGCAGAACTTCACTGAAATCAAACAGCTAAAGGGAGCTAAGCCTGGATTTCAGCTGCTGACTACTGTGTAACACAGCCTATGTTCTCTGTTGTGACCGTGGTTTACATTATCTGTCGTTTGTATTTGTAAATTATATAGGAATCCTACCAGCATCATCTAGTGCAGGATTCTCAGCTTATGCGTTATTGATAGTTGAGAGCAGGTGATCATCATGAGGACTGATGCTGAAGCTGAAGTTCCAATCCTTTGGCCACATGATGTGGAGAGCTGACTCATGAGAAAGACCCTGATGCTGGGAGGGAGAGAAGGCAAGAGGAGAAAGGACGACAGAGGATGAGATGGCTGGATGGCATCACCGACTCAATGGACATGAGTTTGAGCAAGTTCCAGGAGTTGGTGATGGACAGGGTGTGCTGCAGTCCATGGGGTTGAGAAGAGTTGGACTTGACTGAGCAACTGAACTGAACTGAGCTGATTGTTGTGAAGGCTGCCCTGTGCATTATGGGATGTTTAACACCTTCCTTGAACCCTGCCCACTGGATACCAGTAGCACCCTGCCCCCTGCTCCACCACCCTCAATTTTGACAAACCCAACAATCTCTAGATGTCCCGGTGCAGGGAGCGGGGTGAGAAAAATCATCCTATATTGAGAATCACTGATCCAAAAAATAGACTTAGGGGAAATTTTGTAACAAATTATAATGAATGCAGGTTCAATTTCAAATAAAATTACTTACATTTTAAAGAATCAGACAAGAATTTAGTAGGTATGATCAGATCATCTTTGTTTTTCCTCGAAGATTGGGCTGGCAAAGGCTTTCTTCCGGTCAAGGTGCTTGCTTGATCTTTTCTTCTTGTTCACTTGTACTTCCATTACAAGTACGTCTATCTTTAATCTAGGTGCATGTATTTCAAGGGGGGTCTTTTCAAGTTGTTTAACCAGTTTGAGAGGATCAGTTTAAACTCTTCCATGATCGTAATTTAATTCCCTGGTGGCTGAGATGGTAAAGAGTCTGCCTGTGATGCAGGAGACCCAGGTTCATTTCCTGGGTGGGGAAGATCTGCTGGAGAAGGAAATGGCAACCCATTCCAGTACTATTTCCTGGAGAATTCCATGGACAGAGGAGCCTGAGGGGCTATAGTCCATGGCGTCACAGAGTTGGATACAACTCAGTGACTGTCACTTTCACTTTTCAAGCACCGATGGGCTGTAGCATTTCCCATTAAGCTGAATGGAGGGAAGCGCTGTCAAGTTCTACACGCCATATGGTGCTTGGAACCACCCCCCAGGTCATACCAGGCAGGTGCCTGTCGACGTGTGGACTGAAGGCATCTTCAACCCATCTTCATATTTAACATTAATGAAACAATCACTTTTAAAGGCAGAGTTCAATGTAAATGGACACTTCAATATATTCAGACTCTAGATTCTAAAATATGGGTCGTGTCGCATCTGCCCACTCCCAACCTAGAGACCTGCCTTTTTTTTTTTAATCAATTAGGGATCCGTTAGAATCAGAAGGACCCAATGTGAAACCACGTTCAGCCGTTTCCCACTTATGTGAGCTAGGACTACACGCCTAGGACATAATCTGCCTGAACACATCCCCTCATCTGCAGGTTTAATACACACCGGAAAGGACACTAACCTCTGGCCAGTCATGGCAGCCGTTCTAATTCATTCTCATTCTTCACAGCTGTGAAGCTGCATCTGTCAGCCCTCCTCATAGCTGATGGGGAGCTTCGTGATGGAGTCCGTGCCAAGTCAGGTAAGCAGAGGTGAGGTAACTTCCTACGGGAGGAAAGAGTGGATGTGAGTTACACACACAGGCATGCACACACACACACACACATTCATATAATGTTTCTTCTATTGGTACAACTGAAAACAAAAAAAATGAATAAGCCCAGACAAGAAAATGGCTAATTCAAAATGGAGACACACCAGAGGTTGCCTCTGAAGCTCCTGATGGTGGTGGCCTGACCTGCATCAGACTACAATGGAGCAAAAATTAACTTATCTATGTCACCGAGATTTCAGTTAATCTGTTTACAGGTTAGCATTGAATACCTGACATTGGCTAACACTGAGTAGAGAAACACAAACTTCCAAACCACTAGATAATCCCTGGAGTAGGAAATGGCAACTTGTTCCAGTATTCTTGCCAGGATAACCCCATGGACAGAGAAGTCCAGTGGGTACAATCCACGGGGTCACAAAAGAGTCAGACACGACTGAGCACACACAGATAGCTCCTGGTCAGGGAACTAGGTCCCACATGTCACATTTGAGAGTTCACATGTTGCAACTAAAGGTCCCACATGCCACAACTCCAACACGGCACAGCCAAGTAAATAAATAAATAAATAAATAAATATATATATATATATATATATATATTTAAATCCACAAGACCAGCAACAGTTGACATGGCCACACCAGGAGATGCATGCTATTACTGTTCACTTTTTTCCTAGATGAGAAAACTAGGCACAGCTAGCTGTTGACTGGAAAAAAAGCACTACCTAAAAGTTGAAAATCATTTTACTCAGTGGATTTTTCTGAGGACTTCAGCCTGGAAAACAGCCTTTCAAATCCTTTGAGGGACTGCTCCAAAGAGATAAGAGGGGAGCCGGGATATATAGCTGCTGTGCCACAGAAAACAGGTAGCCAGAACATCCAAAGATTATTGTTAATTAAAGAAAACTAAATATCTTGAGTTGCTGAATTTAGTGCTCTTCTAGGTATGTGTTATTTGCATATGGGAAGATGCAAAAGTCTGGACTCACCAGAATCATTGCTTTGATACCTACCTTAGCCACACAGGGCCAGTACCCTGTTCTTTCCCACCTCGAGTCCATTCAGTTCAGTTCAGTTCAGTCACTCAGTCGTGTCTGACTCTTTGCGACCCCATGGACTGCAGCACACCAGGCCTCCCTGTCCATCACCAACTCCCAGAGTTTACTCAAACTCATGTCCATTGAGTCAGTGATGCCATCCAACCGTCTCAGCCTCTGTCGTCCCCTTCTCCCACCTTCAGCCTTTCCCAGCATCAGGGTCTTTTCAAATGAGTCAGTTCTTTGCATCAGGTGGCCAAAGTATTGAAGTTTCAGATTCAAAGTGCCCTATTGTAGGTGGTTGTCGTGGCCAAGGGCTTGTCTCCATCCTAAATTCCCTCAGCTCACCGTTAGGGTGATGACTTGATGCCTGCAGCATCCTTTGTTTGCTGACATGGCAGGCAGCATTTCTTTCATCCACAGAACTTCCTCAACTCGGAAAGAATCAGGGTTTGACCCTAACCAACCGGTCCTGAGGTCTACACAGGGCTTCTGCTCTGTTGCTTTGAAACCTCGGGAGCTTGCCAGGGTGAAGTCTGAAACTGGTTCTGTTACTCAGAAGGTAAGGAGAAGCCAAAGAAAGAGGCTGCTTCAGATGGGCTGGTGGCGGGTTTAATAGGCAGGGGACATACCTCAGAGGCTTGTCTTGGTCTCAAGAGACAAGTAAACCTCCACACATGCCAGCCCTGATCACCAAAGTTTGTAGAGAGGCTGTCCTGGGGTTCAATCACGTATGACCATCCAGAAGGTCCCAACTCCTGCTTAGTCCTCAAGGCTGCTTTCCAAGTCCTTGGAAACTGTTCTCATTGCAGGGAAGGTGGGCAGAGTTTACAGTCCAAGGACAGGGGAGGGGTAAGGAGCCTCTGAAATGACCCCAGCTCTGGAGTCAAATGGCTATCTTGTCCTCTCCATAACCTCCTCCGACAAACTCTGAGACATCTCAAAGAAGGTTTGTGTGATGAATGATGGAATGCCAGGCACGGGATTTACTTGCATTTACTTGTCACACTTCAGGGTGTTCATTACTTTACTGCTAAAAAAAAAAGAAGCTGCAACAAATAAATCATTAGTGTCTTTTAAAATTCAAACACTTTGAAAGGAAGGGGGAACTATTGAGTTGATAGTGTGATGACATTAACAAATAAACACTCCTACTAGATTATAATTGGTGCTTTTGAACTGTGGTGTTGGAGAAGACTCTTAAGAGTGCCTTCAACTCCAAGGAGATCCAACCAGTCCATCCTAAAGGAAATCAGTCCTGAATATTCATTGGAAGGACTGATGCTGAAGCTGAAACTAATACTTTGGTCATCTGATGTGAAGAACTGACTCATTTGAAAAGACCCTGATGCTGGGAAAGACTGAAGGCAGGAGGAGAAGTGGACAACAGAGGATGAGATGGTTGGATGGCATCACTGACTCAATGGACATGAGTTTGAGTAACCTCCAGAAGTTGGTGATGGACAAGGAGGCCTGGCATGCTGCAGTCCATGGGGTCACAAAGAATCGGACACAACTGAGCAACTGAGCTGAACTAAACTAACTAGGTTAAAATGATGTCATTGTTTAACTCAATAGGTAATGGGAGCAGAACCCCATGGGGCCTTCCAGGGACAGACTCTTCCTCTGCATCCTTTGCTATAGCTCCTCCGAGAAGTACCTCCATGATACGTTTCATGCATATTTCCTGAGTTTTTCAGATGCTAAAACCACCACCAAATGGAAGAAGTCAACTACTTGATGATCACTAGCTGGTAACTCTCAGACCTTCTGGCACCCAAGGATTGATCACCATCGACCAAAGAACTGTGCACGACCTGATCACATATCCTGGGACGCCCCTCCCTCACCTGCAGTAAACCTTTCTCTGCTCTGAACTCCAGTGTTCTGGTTTGTCTGGCCTCACTGTGCATCTGAAACACAAACTTGCCTTCGGTAGCAAAGGATATTTGTGTTATATACATATGTATATAATTTTAAGTGGGTGAATCATTAAATTAAATGACTACAGTAGTTCTTTGGGGACAAATTCTTCCTTTTCGAAAGGACACAGCATTGGGAGTTGGCCAGGACCTTCTCACTTCTCATAATTGTAGTGTCTGGGATGTCCATATCGTTCCTGTCTGCAGAAGCGCCAGGCCTTGTGCCAAGGCCTTTCCCTCGGTGAGTTATAAAGGGGAGGAATTCATGGTGAGCCTGTCGCTGAGGCTTGCTTCCTCCTCTGTGAAGTAGGAGGTGAGTGCCGAACCACATAGGATGGTCCTGGCGGGCTGAAGGACCCCTGCGTGGCTTTGACACCCCAGGGACCCATTCCTCCCTGAGTCCTGCCACCTCCCCAGACCTGCTGCTCAGCTTCATTCTGAGATGCCCGTGCAGGGGATGTAAGAGACTCAGTGATCAGGCAGTAACCTCCTAAGAAGAACACAGCCAGGGAGCCTGGCTTCTAGTACTGGAACCTGCTAATAACCAGCTCAGTGACTCTGGGAAAATTACTTTGACCCTCTGAGCCTCAGCTTCCTCATCTTTAGAATGGGCAGGACTGATAAGAGGACCAGTAATGTCCCTCCTAATGTTGATGATTGTGGGCCTCCAGACCTGTGCTCCGTTCCCTCTGGGTCTCTCATGGTGTGTGTTAAAAAGTGCAAGTTCAACACAAACTCATCACAATATATTACTTTTTTTGATATCAGTGTTCTCTCCCTTAACTGAATGTATTTCCTACTATCTTAAGGTGTTTTTTTTCATTTTGAAATAGATTAACCAGATAAAATATGTTTGTACACATATATGATACACATACATAGAGAGGGAGTGTACTCATACATGTTCATTAAAAATTTTTTAAAAACTGGATGCAATCAATTCAGTTTAAGGGAGAGACCACTGCCCACACCCCTGAAGTGTCGTGTGTATCCTTTTGTAATCCTGATGCCGTTCTCTTGGCTTTTTCCCACTGGTTGGCATTATTCTGAATTTTGAGTTAATCAGTCCTATGCTTTCTTTATACATTAATATGAAATGCATTGCTTAGTTGAATCTTTGTATTGAAATATAATGAAGATGCATTTTATATGCATTTGTACTGAAATATAATGAAGATTCATTGCTTACTTATTTGGATAAAAATAATTAAATTATATGTGTTCTTCTTCTGAGATCTTTTTCCTCACGTATTTTTGAGAGAGAGTGTCATATTGACTCAAGTACTGTAAATTCATTCTCTATTTCTGTAGAATATTTCATTTAAAAAACACAGTGGAACTCATTTAAAGAATTCTACTATTAAGGGACATTTGAGTCGTTTCCTCTGTGTGTATATGTGTTCACCACTTCCAATAAAAATGCCATGAATATTCACATGCTCCTGAATATCCATGAATATTCAGGTATGCGCCTCCTGGTACACCTGTGCCAGTTTTTCTTTCTATTTAGAAGAACAACTGCTGAATTATAGAGTACATGTGTTCCAATTTTTCTGGGCAGCATGCATTACTTTCCAAACAAGCACTTCATTTCACAGGGGTATCAGCAGTTGACACAAGTTTCCATGGCTGCATATCTTTCCAACACCCGGAAGTTCAGACTTTGATCTTACCTGTGTGATGGATTGGAATCGGTGTTTCATTCAGAACAGGTTTTAATTTGCACATTTCTGATGAGTAATGATGCTCCAATGACTCTATACATTTGCTGCCATTCGTGTTTCATGTTCCCTGGAAATGCTTGCCATTTGGCTGATTTTTATTATTGGATCATTTATCTGTGTCTTATGGGTTTGTATGAATTCTTCCTTTATTTCAAGAATTTCTTAGGTTTATGTGTCCAGATATTATCTCACCATTTGTGGAAGTTGTTTATCCACATGTCCATGGTGTCTTTTGAGGAGTAAAGGTGAAAGGGAAAGTTGCTCAGTCGTGTCCGATTCTTTGGGACCCCATGGACTTATACAGTCCATGGAATTCTCCAAGCCAGAATACTGGAGTGGGTAGCCATTTCCTTCTCCAGGGGATCTTCCCTACCCAGGGATCTAACCTGGGTCTCCCACATTGCTTGTGGATTCTTTACCAGCTGAGCCACAAGGGAATCCCAAGAATACTGGTGTGAGTAGCCTATCCCTTCTCCAGGGGATCCTCCTGACCCAGGAATTGAACTGGGATCAGGTCCTGCATTGCAGGTGAATTCTTTACTAACTGAGCTATTCAGGAAAGCCCCCTTTGAATAGTAAACTACCTTTTATTTATGTCAATTTATCCACTTCTCTCTTTACTCTCTGTTGATGCTATGTATTTTGGACCACTTCTCAATTTTGAGGACATTAAGATCCTCCTCTGTATTATTATTTCTTAAATGATAAGTCATTGCTTTCTTTTTTTTTTTTTTTTTACCTTTAGATCTTTTGTCCACTTCCCTCATACCATTCATTGTCCAGACCACCCTCCGCCCAGTAATCTTCAGCACCAACTCTGGTGCAGACAAGGCTATCCATCCATGGAGGGGGTTGGCTCTGGGTTCTCTATTTTGCTCCATTGATAAGAGTTTTTTCCCCTCTTATCAATAATATGCTACAGCAACATGCTACTGTTTATCATGCTCTAGTTTTACAGTGAACTTTTCTCTTCAGTAGGCTAATGCCACAGGCTTCTCCGGCAGCTCAGCTGGTAAAATCTGCCGGTTTGATGCCTGGGTCGGGAAGCGCCCCTGGAGAAGGGACAAGCTCCCCACTCCAGTATCCCTGGGCTTCCGTGGTGGCTCAGACAGTGAAGAATCCACCTGCAAAGCAGGAAACCTGGGTTAGACCCGCGGAAAGATTCCCCAAGTGAGGGCATGGCAACCCACTCCACTACTCTTGCTTGGAGAATCCCACGGACAGAAGAACTTGGCGGACTCACAGTCCATGGGATCGCAAAGAGTCGGACATGACTGGGCACAACACAGGCTAATGCCACACACCTGGTTCTTCCCCAGCTATGGATCAGCTGCTTTTGGTAACACAAGACTAGGAGTTTGCAAGGGATGGAACCAAGGTTTCCTTATTTAAACTTTAGAGAAGGTTTTGTTAAGTTTTGTAACATCACCAATTAGGCTTTTCATTGGAATCGTATTGAATCCACAGAGCAATTGGGAGTAACTGACATATTTATGAAAATGACTATATATTTGTGTCAGTCTTCTAGTGCAATAAAATATTATCTTTTTCTATTTAAACTGCTTACAAATATTTTCTTAGAGTTGGACCTAGGTACCATTGACATACGTGTTACTAGTTTAAATGTATCCCTTTGAAAGTCACTTTTCAAACTATCAGTAGCTAGAAATGGTAATTACTACAGCATTGTTTGCTGGAGAGATCTGTCTAATCTCTAGCTAATTCTAATAATCTGTCTATAGATTCTTTGAGTTTCTTATGTAGAAGAGCATGTGTTATCTGTAAATAATGAGAACTGTAATTTTTACTTCTCATATTTTATATAAGTTTTTCCTCTTTCATGTCATAGTTCCCTGGCTGAGCTCTCCTGTAGAAGATAGACTGGAAGAGCAAAGGGGAGCAATCTTGCCTTGATCTTTATATTAAAGAGAGTGGTTTTTAACAGTCCAATATTATGTACATTGTTCCATTATTTTATCTGTAGGTACTCATCAGTTACCACTTTAAATAAGTTCTTGTTACTCGTATATTGCTAAACTTTTACAATAATGAATAGTCATTGAAATTTTATCAAATATTCTTTTCTAAGTCTATTAAGATAAGGTGATTTTTCTCTTCACTTCTATGAATAGAGTAGATTACATTAATCTGTTCTATAATGTTGGTATGAATGTGCATTCCTGGAATAAACCCTAGTGGCTCACAATGTACCATTTTCTTTTTTTTTTTTGATGTGTGTGATTTTCTTCATTTTTTTTTTTCTGCTTGGGTTCCATTGACCTTCTTGAATGTGTAGATTGATCACTTATACTAAATTGGGAAAATTTTTTGCGACTTATTTCTTCACTTTTTTTTTTTAAGAAATATGACCCCAAACAGTTTTGGTAGGCTCATGGCCTATATATATATATGCTCCTCTTCAGACTGCCAGTGTTTTATTTAGAATTATTTCATTATTTGAATGCAATTTTCCTTTGCTTTATCAACCTTGTTTGGTTGTAAAATCAAAGTGACTCCATATTCTTAAAATAAGTTGTACGGTCTCCTCTGTTTTTTCACTTCTTTGGAAAAAAAAATGTATGACATATTAACAAGAATCTCTTTGTTGAATTTTTAACTCAATTGTAACATTATTGGGAGCCTTAACATTCTCTTTGCAGTAAGAATTTCAATTATTGATGCAGATGCTAGATAGAGAAGTAGTGACTAAGGGAGGTCCCAGAGATGGAGGAGGGATGCTTGTTCAGGACTGAACCTTTTTATAAACGGAGAGGAAAGAACGATCAAGAGGGAGACTGCAGATAAAGGAGAAAAAGGGAAGGAAATAGAAATCCTCGAGGAACTAGTTGCTGGGCTTGGATTCTGGGGTCTAGAGCAGGAATGAAGGGAGCTCTTGGGCTATGAGTTAAGGGCCATTGTATGAAGTTGGTTGAAGAGATGGGTCATGATAGACCAGAAGAGAATGAGAGAACAGGGGAGTGGATGTCTGTGAGGTCAAAATAAAAAGGAAGCTTAGTGGAAGAGTGGGAGAAAGCAAGAAAGCTGAAAGACACATGTTGTGATCAGGAAAGACAGGCCTGAGTTAATGCTGCTCAAGTTTCCAGGTTTGCGGTTGGGTCACGGATAGGATCAATCCTAGTGGCAGGATGGAAGGGAGATGGGAGGGACCTTCTAGGTAAGAAACAACGGGGCCAGGGCTGAGAGCAAAAGCTGCAGTGGCGGTCTTCCTTT